CCGGCTGGCTGGCGCAACAGGCACCCACATGTTTTTCCCTAGCCAGTGGGCGTCCCAGCCGAAGTGGCGGGGCCGGCGAGCTCCCGGGGCGGGGCGCGGGCGTCGCTCTCTGGGCCACGTGCCCAGCGCGGCTTTAGGGAAGCTTTAGGTGCAGCCGCGGGTGCTGGAGCTGAGCTGCTGCCCCCTCCACCCCGGATTGTACTGGTTGAGGTGGGAAGACGAGGCCGAGGGCTCTGCTTGTTGCAGAACGGAGCTAGGAATTTAAAAATGAATGTGTATTTCTTTTCGGCCACCCTTCACCTCACTGGTTAATTGACGCATTGCTGTGCCCTGGGTGGGGTTCTGTGCTGGGGACCTGGTGTCGGGGAAGGAGTGTGTGTGGTTCCAGGGCTCGGCCTTGCTCTTCAGTCATCCCTGCCCACGGCATGTTGGTGGACAGGAGCACATCCAGGCTTGCTGCCTCATCTGGAAAATGGGACTAATTTACACTTAAAAAGGAGATAATAGATATGGCAAGGCTTTCAAACGTTTAATACAAATGGTAGCTTTCCTTTCCTGTGCTTTTAGAAAGGCCTGGGGCTTCCCCAAGCTCTCCTTGCACTCACTCCTTATTCAGCCATTTCTCAGGGTCCAGAGATGGGCTGAAATCTCAAAGGCAACAGGATAAGGTGAGGGTAGAATTTGCCTCTGCTGCTCCCACTCCCAGGAAGGCTGGGCTGTAATACCTGCGCCTGGGGCAGTGCTTTGCAAGGAAGCAAACAGTTATAAGGTTGGGGACACAAGAGACAAGGTCTCTATTGGGGGCATATCTGGCAAACCTGAGGCCCCAGTGCCCTAATCCACACAGAATGTGCAACTGAAGTCTTTGGGGACAGCGAAGGAATGTCAGAAGGATGTCCTGGTCTCCTCCCCTGCCCCTCCCCTGCTGTCACCACCAGCCCCAAAGTGAGCAGCACGCACGCACACACACACACACAGGCACATTCTCTCTCTCCTCTCTGTCCAGGAACTCTCACCTCCCCCACCAGCCAGCCCCAGCCACAGTCTCTCCTAGCTACACACCTGCCAGGCCTGCTCCAGACCCTCTTGCTTCTCCCTCCTTTCTGGGGGGAAGGGACTTGGAGTTAGGCTTTTAAAAGCCACACCACCTGCCCGACCTCTTTCCCAGGGGCCCAGCATTGGGACCTGGCCCTTTGGGGTTCAGTCAAATTTCTGTCTCTAGGATTCAGACCCAAACAGCTGTGTTAATATCAAAGCCAGGGGGTGAGGACTCCAGGGCCTTGGGGCAGCCGGTGGAAGGACTCTCCCCTCGTCTGGGCTCCGCGGCGCCTGGGAAGGGGCAGTGTCCAGAGCCCTTGGAATGGCTCCGCTTCTTGACCTTTTGCGACCGTCCAGCTCGGGGCTCAGAGGCTGTGGGTGTCACCCAGCCTGGTTTCTCCTTTAGCAGCCGGTCACGGTCAGGCCGCACACTCCGCAAGAACTTCCTAAAGATGTTGGCTGTCAGGGCAAACCTGCGGCCTAGCTCCCTCGGTGGGCTCCTCCCTTCTCTGGACTCCCCGACCTGCCCGGTCTCACCCTTCTCCCCACCCTTCTCTAGTTCTGGCAAGTCCAGCCAGTTGCCCACCAGGTCCGCAAAAATGTTGTCACCTAACACCAGAGGCTGTCGGTTCCGGCCCTGGGACATCAACGTGGAGGGCCAGTCATCCGGTTCCACCAGCTCCGGCCCCTGCTGGGCACAGCTCTGGTGCTGTGACAGCTGTGTCCCGGGTAGGGGAGCCAGGTCCCTCCCCCACACACTCCTATGCGATGGAAACTTGGTGCTGCTGCCAAGAGAAGGTTGGGTGGAGGGGGAGCAGGCCTCGGGCCTGGCGGGATGGCTGCCACCCTCCCACTGAGGGGGCTCGGGCTGTGTCCGGGGGCTTTCCGGGCAGCCTGGGGCGGGACCCCCTCCGGAGATGTCCAGCTGCTCCAGTGCCGTCTGCACCTGCAGGAGCTTCAGCTCTTGCAGCGCCCCCATCATGCAGTTCATCTGATCCTGCAAGCCATCACCCACTTCCTTCATGGACATCTGCAGGGGAGAGAGTACAGGGCCCGTGAGCCGGGGGGAAGGGCTGCTCCCAAACACACACCCCCAGAGTCACTGCAGCCTGCCACCGACCCCACCTCTGTCCAGCCGGGTCCAGTGCACATCAGAGCTGGGAGAGGGGGAATTTTAACAGTGATATGGCTGAATAAAGGAAATAATATTAACGGCAGCTAACTTGCTAAGGCAGGCACTGTCCTAAGCTACGTGTGTGTGTGTGTGTGCATATGTATAAATAAATCTCTATTTAACCTCCCCAACTACTCCATTAGGTAGTGACTATTACTGTTCCTATTTTACAGATGAGGGAACTGAGGCACATAAGTATCTTGCTTAAGCTTACACAGATAGTAAGAGGTGGGGCTGAGATCAGTTTGAGGGTACACAAAGTTGCGGGGGCCAGCTGTATCCCTTTTTGTGCCTGAGCCCTCTTCTTCTCCTGAGCCTTCCTGAGGTGATGATGATGGTAGCAATAACAATTGGTGAGCAGCTGCTGTGTAACAGGAACGGAGCTATGTGTCCTAGGCACCTCATCTCATTTCATCTTTATGTAAACCTTAGGAGGTTGCTGTTACTCTTCTCATTTTAATAGACGAGTAACCGTGGTGGGGGGAAGTGACAGGCCTCAGGTCACACTGCTCATGTTGCTGGGATTCAAACACAGGACATCTCACTCCGCATGTTGGAGCCCTAACAACAAGCCATGCCTCAGGGTGGCTGGTCCGTGGAGGAGGGTTGAGAGGGACTTACGGGAAGAGGAGGAACTCGGATTGCCCGAGAGAAAGGATAGGCCTGGGGTCTCCTGTCACTGCTGCTCACATCTGGCTGGTTAGAAGAGAGATAGGGAGGCCAGGAAGCCCCTGTTTGCAGGGGTCCCTGCCCAGCTCTGCCCTGCCCTTCTCTTCCTTCCAAACACCTGTCCTCTCTCAGCTGCTCTCAGACTTGGCTCCAGTGCTCTTCCTGCCTTCTCGGTCCAATTGGCTCTGTTGCCCTGGCCCAGAGCAGGGACACTGGGGGCCAGTTCCCCAGGCCCTTTGTGGGTGTCTCAGGCCCAAGTCCCACGTGCCAGCTGGAAGGGGCTGAGAGAGTGACTTGGGTGAGGGCCGAGTTTGGAGACTGGGCAGGGGATGCTTCATCTGATAACATTCATGAGTCACGGGTTCCTTTCCCCAGGCCCAAGCTGCCCTGGTCCCACCAGCTCCCTACCCAGACCTACTCATGTTACCAGCAGCAAACTTCGTGCGAGGGGACCATCTGTTTCTTAAGCCCCCCAGAGACCCACAGGGATCATATTACCTCCCAGCCATGTCCTCATGCACAGAGCTAAGCCCATGGGGTGGAGGACTGGGAGGGCAGGCACAGAGGCCCTGCAGGGCGGCACTGGCAGCTGACCCTCTCAGACTTCAGGGTCAGACCCTCCCTGCCAACTCTGGCATGGGTGGGGGCAGGAGGGGCAGGCTCTCCTGAGCCCGCAGTGCTAACAGACAGTGGAGGCTGACAGTTGTGAAGGCAAGGAGGCCTCTGTTGAGTGTAGAATGGCCCACACTCTGTACCTTCCCTGAGACAGGGCAAGGAGGAGCGGCGGCTCAGGGCCTGATGGCCTGGGATCTGCCAGGCTGCCAGGCAGGAGGCATGGCTTGCTGTGGGGTGGCCGTACGTGCTGCTGGCCCCGTGCTCTGATCTCTTTGGCTTCCACCTTCCTGACCCCTTCTTCCGGAGGCAGCTGAGCCACAGCTGGAAAACCCAGAGCAGAGTCAGGAGACTCCAAGCCCCAAACCGAACTCCTCAAAGTCCCTTCCCAGCAAACTGCTTCTCTGACTGCCCCCTCCCTCCTACCGCTTGCCTGTTCACCCTAACCTGGAACCTCAGAGTCGTTTTTGGCTTTTCCACCCCACAACCCCTGCTCCTGTCCCCAGAGGCCGCACATCTGCCTTTCTATCCCCTGGAATGCTGCAGAACCCCCCTCGCAGGGCTTCCAACCACCAGATCAGTCCTCCCAACACACACCTCCGACCCTGCTACTCGCCCCTCAGAAGCATATTCTACTCCCGTACACACGCCCCACACTCCCGTCAGAACCTCTTCTCTGAAACTTAAAGCGCTCTTCCCTGCGTCCTGCTACTCACAGACCCGCCCCAGCTCCTCTGTGCGTGAAAGTGCTGGGTTAAGTGCTGGGTCACTCATGAAACATTCATTACACCTCTACCACTTGAGGGCAGGGACTGAGAGCTACACATCTTTGTTGCCCCAGAGCCCAGCCAGCACCTTTGCACTCATATCCATGAAACATACGCTGAGTACCGCTGAGTACCCCAGATCACCCCCCAGGCTGCTGGCTGCCCTCAGACAGTAAGTCGCTACCCAGGGAGAAAGAGTCAGGGGCATTTCTCCAGGTTTCGTTTCACCAAGAGGCACAGAGTCGGAGCCTGCAGGCTTCCTTCCAGAAGGCTGAACACAGTCCAGGTCAGAGGCAGTGGGAGGAATGAAATGACCCCATTCAATCTCTTCCAGTTTGGAAAAATCCTTAAGAAATAATGCTGACATTTTGTACCTTTTCCCAGTGAGAATGAATGTGTGGGTATGTATGAATTCAGGGCCGCCCATAAAACAGAGGCCCCATTTAAGTAAATAGGAGCTGAAATTACACTCCTATGGAAAATGATAGTCTGTATTGGTTAAGATCTGGGTTCTGGAGACAAATGGAACAGGGTTCAAATCCCCATTCGGCCACCTTATAGCTGTGTGATCTGGGCAGGTTATTCAAATTCTGTTTTTAAATTTCTCCATTCTTTAAAATGGGAATAAGAGTTCCGGCCTGGTCCAGCTTTGGACAGATTAGGTGAGTCATGTGTGCTTATATACGGCCTAGAGGGAGGTTACTAAGAACTTCCAGAACATTTCTTCTTCAGTGACCCTTCACAGACAGTAGTGATAGGATTCCGTCCATCTATCTGGTCTGAGGAAGGAGCAGCATCTCCGTCCTGTCTTTTCTGCCCACCCCGACCCCCACCCTGAGCCCACATGGAGGAAGGAGAGCAAAGGAAAGGGAAGCCTCTGCATCCTCCTGCGCACTGGCCGGCTGGACTCCCGGGCTCGGTCAGCCAGACGACACTGAAGGGCAAGATGGCAGCTGTGAGGGATGAGGAGGAAGAAGGAAGCCCGAGTGTGGGAATTGGGGAGGGCAGGGGGCGTGGGAGGCAGGAGCATCTGCTGGGTGCTGACGGAGAGGCAAGCTGCCTTGCCCGGCCCCAGAGGAGTGATGTCACCCAAGGAGAAAGAGCCAGAGGGCAGGCTGCTGTGTTCCCCAGAGCGTGGGACCTGCTCAGATCCCAGGGTTTCTCTTGCCGAAGAGAGAGCACTGCAGGGTGGGAGCAGAGGAGAGGGGCCAAATCAGAGAAAACCCCGAGCTGAAAAGTAACACTAAATCCCCATCTCCAGGCTGTAGGTGCTGAGCGCCTCTCCTGCCTCCCAGAGCCTCAGAGCCTCGGGCTGGGGCCCAGTCATACCCACCTCGCCCTCGGGGGTCAGTAGGAAAATAAGAGGGTCTGATTTGTTCTGATTCATTTGAGCAGCAGCAGACTGCACAGCCACCTCCCTCTTTCTCCACTCCTGCTCACACACACTCACACGCTTGTGCACACACACTCACTCAGGCACAGAGCTGGCCCGCTCCATCATCCAACACAGTACCCCCATGATAAGCACATCCCAGAGGCAGCTGTGGGAACCCTTCCTGGGAAAAGTCACACCACCCTCGCATCCACGCCACCCACAGTCCATCTCCCACCCCCAGCATCTGCTGGGCCTCCAAATGTCTCATTCTAACAATCTTCTCCCTGTCACACTTTAGTCTCTCCTGCGGCAGTTTACACCAGCCCCTGGCTTCTCCCTAGATGAGAGCTGGGCGGCTGCAGGGCCCCCTCCCGGTGTGTGTAAGGAGCCCCACGCTGTCCCTACCTGTGGACCCCTGGCCTGCTCCAGCCGAGCTCGGCCACTTGACAAGGGCAGCTTCATCAACCTTCTGTGCCTCGGATTCTGACTATAAAAAGATAACCCTTCACATGTGTGTAGCCCCGCCCTGTCTTCCACGCGGCCGTATCTGATCCCTGCCATTACCCTGGGAGGCTGACTAGGCAGGTGGGGTTGTCTCCACTTAGTAGGTCGGGAAACTAGGAATCTGAGAGCTTCCTTTTCTCCCTCAGGGTTCCCCAAACACACTTCCTCAGACTTCCTTCGTGATTTCACCACATCTACATATGACCTCGTCTCCTATTTAATACTCTACTTCAGTCTATTGTTTATATAAATAAGTGTATTTATACATGGACTTACATGAAATGTATATCACTTACCATAAACAGATGATAACGCACACATTATATCTATCTATATGTCATCTATCTACCTTAAACTAAAAGTTTTTCATCTGAGTATCGCCTGATGTCTTCTTGAGCACGCCCAGTGGAAACACTGGTCTGTTGCCTGAGGTTCTGAGGTGTGTTAGTGGGAGGACTGGGACCCCACGCCTGGCCTCTTACTCCAGGCCAGTGGGCTCTCCATGTCATCATGACCCCTGACTTTTCAGCCTCATGGGACTGTTGTGAGAGGAAACCAGCATAGTCAGTGGGCTGGGTAAGTGCAATTATCATCATATGGGGATGAAGAGCATGAATCTTGGAGGGACTCCAAGACCCCATTCAGTTCATTCCCACTGGAGGCGTCTCTTCACTGAATCATCCGAGGGGGAGAGGAGCTGCTGCCTGGGGCTGACGGGGAAGATGCTCCTGGGAAGCCCAACCCTCCATCCTGGCCCTCCAGTCCTGAGCCCTCGGTGGGGTAGTGAGGGGTCCACTGTGCATGGACGGCTCCCCCCACTGGCATTCACTGGCCCTTTGTGGTGTGGGAGGAGTGAGGATGGGAAAATGTGACACCAGCATCCTCGGCAACCTTCCCAAGCCCTCTCCTGGGCCCCTGACTGATCCCAC